CAGATGGTGCCAGGGGGGCACTTGATGTCCGCGTCGACAGCACAGATGGCCGCAGTCACGCAGACATTTTACCCGTGGATCTCTGACTGGTCTGAGCTATTCTGGACCGGCCTGAACGAGAGAGACGAGAAGGGAAAATGGCAATGGACGACAGGCAGAGAAAACCCCTCGTTCACATGGTTGGATGGTGAGCCAAACGATTGGGGAGGACAGGACGAGCTTTGCGCAGCTGGTTATGCAAGTGGCCTCCTCCTCGATGCCGCATGCGAATACCCCTTCAGATACCTCTGCAGTGTGGAAGCGAAGATGGAGCATTGCCCAGCTCCCTGTGCCCAAGAGACGCCTGGTTGGAATGGAGACACATGGCGTTGTAGAGAGCAAGGCCCGGAAGGCGAGTGTCAAGATGGTGGCTTCGGCACTGTGGCATTGATGGGCGGAGGCTCTATGGGCCTTTTCTACATCATCTCTGGCTTCGTGATGGCTGTGGGGTATTGCCAGGTGGGCTCGGTTGAGCCAAATACATGTGCGGCTGCTGTGCTCAGCATGCCTAGACATCGCTCAGAGCTTCCATGCTCCAGCTGGGTTACTGTAATGTGTAACTTTAGAGTTGTACTGTCCAATGCCTTTGAAACTGGTACCGTATTGTTGAGAACGTTCCGCATCCAACATATGTTCGACAACGCTTGTTGCAGGGTGAGCAGATCTGATACTTTTGGCTGGGTTGCTCTGTTTACAAACATCGTGCTTATATGCTTGGCCGAATTATAAGAGGGCGCCTGCATGCTTGCTTCAGCATGTCTAGGCAGGTGTTGTTTCGATAGTTGTTTTCATGTAGAAACTGTTGAAGCATGAGCTTGAGCATTTCTGCCTGGAAGACTATGCGAGAGCGCAGGTCTGCCAAGTTTGATTCCCTACATCCAAAAAGTAGTTCCGAAGTGTAAGTTGGACATGAATTAACGGAGAACCCTCTTGGACCCAAAGCCTTCAGGGCCTATTCCTATCCTGCTCAGCGCATCTCAAAGTCGCAGA